TACATATGGTTGCCAGAGCGAAAGAGACAGAGAAAGTAAGGCAAAAAGTGAGAAATCACCAAATCATCCACCTCCCAGGGAGAATGACCTCACCACAGTCCCTTCTCCTATATTCTTCTCTTGGGATCGTAGGCATGCACGCACACACATACACACACACAAGCATGCACACATACCCAGTGTGATTTTCTGGGAGTCCAGCAATATAATCACTCTACCATCTGCTGGCCCCTGTTTTAAATTTCTAAAGTGTATTTTATGACTCAGAGTGTGGTGTATCTTGGTGAATGTCCCAAGTGACCCTGAGAAGAATGTGCATGCTATTGCTGAATTCTATAAATGTCCATTAGATCAAATTAATTGAGAGTGCTGTCAGGCTAGAATTCAAACTGAAGTCAACCATGTAGGATCCAGCTTTCTTTAACCACTAGGCTATGGGGCCAGCCCTTGTCTCACTTTTGACTATTATTAACAATACTGCTATAAATATGGTGTGTATTACTTTTTGTGGGGGTATATTTTCATTTTCTTGGGTATATACCTAGTAGTGTTGTCTGAATGACGTGGTAACTCTGTATGTCAACTTTGGAGGAACTCTAGACTGTTCTCCATAGTGACTGTACAATTTTTACATTTCCAGCAACAGTATATGAGGGTTTAGATTCCTCCACATGTTATTCTCCATCCTTTCAATTATAGTTATTCCAGTGCGTATGAAGTGGTATCTCATTGTGGTTTTTGACTTGCATTTCTCTGAAAGCTAACAGTAGTGAGCATCTTTTCATGTTGCTTTTTGTCCATTTGGGTATGTTATTTAGAGAAATTACTATTTAAGGTTGCTGTAGTTTGAATGAGTCCCCACCCAAAAATGATGCGATAAAATTGTCTTGCGATAGCATTAAGAGGGTTAAAAACAAACTTATTCCAAATGTGAGACTTTGGGATATGATTAGGATTAAGATTATCAGGATGATAACCTTGACTGAATCCTGGTAGGATTATAAGAAGAGGGAATGAGCAGGGACAGCAGATGGCATAATGGTTATGTTGTTGGACTCCCACACAGTTGACCGTGGTTGGAGTCCTGGACCTGGTTGCTTAAAATGCCTGCTGGGTGCATGTGCATGTGTGCCCAGAATCCTAAGAGAAGAATGGAGGAAAAGGGATTGCAGCATGGCCATACCCCCTGGGGGGAGGGGTGATTTCTCACTTTCTCTCTAGGTCTCTGTCTCTCCCGTGACCGCATATATCCTGTAGCAAAAATCTCTCTTAAGAAAAAAAAAGAAGAGGAGGGAATGATAGACACATGGACACGTGGAATCTCTTGCTTTCTCATTGCCTATGTGATGTATATGCTGCCTTGGGATTTGGTAGAATTCCTACCAACAAGAATGGCCTCACCAGATGTGGCCCTTGACCTTGGACCTCCAAAGGTCAATAACCTGTATTCCTTATAGAATTACCCAGTGTGGTTGGTATACAGTTCTCAGAGACAGAACAGACTAAAAGATTCTTGGCCCATTTTTTTTAAACTTGGGTTGTCTTATTCTTTTTGAACTCTAGTATGTTTTGTTTGTTTTTAAGCATATTTTATTTATTGAAAAAGAGATTAGATGCTGTTGATAGAGTCTTGACACACCACAATCACCCTCCTCTAGCCAGCTAGGATCACAGGTACAGACTGAGCCTCCCATTTGGCTCCAGCATGGTGCAGCAGCACCCCATCACCTGCACCACCACACTGGGGCCATACGTGTCCTCCTTTTTTCTTTCTTTCTTTCTTTTAGGAAGGGACATTTGTTTTGTTCTTTGAGGCCACTTGTGCTTGCCAGACAGACAGAGAGAGACAGAGAGACAGAAAGCGAGAAATCACCCCCCAGGGGGGATGGCCATGCCGCAACCCCTTCTCCTCCATTCTCCTCTCGGGATCTTGTGCACGCACACACACGCGCCCAGCATGAGTTTTAAGCCACCGGGTCCGTGACGTGAACCATGGTCGACTACGTGGGAGTCCAGCAACATAGCCATTAAGCTAACTGCTGGCCCCCCGAAAAAAAATTTTTAAAAAAAGGAGGACATAGGGACCAGCAATTAGCATAATGGCTATGTTGCTGGACTCCCACGTAGTCGACCGCAGTTCGCATCTCGGACCCAGTGGCTTAAAACTCACGCCGGGTGCGTGTGCGTGCGTGCCCAAGATCCCGAGAGGAGAATGGAGGAGAAGGGGTTGCGGCATGGCCATCCCCCCTGGGGGGTGATTTCTCGCTTTCTGTCTCTCTGTCTCTGTCTGGCAAGTGCACGTGCCCTATAGCAAATTTTTTTTAATGATTTTTTTATTTACATTTATTGTTACACAACTTTATAGTGTATAATAAGGTTTTATTTTGCCTTTTTTTTTTTAAAGATTTTTTACCATGAGGCATGTGTGCTCATGGGAGAGAGAGAGAGAGAGAGAGAGAGAGAGGAAAACTTAGAAATCACCCTTCAGGAGGATGACCATGCCACAATCCCTTTTCCTTCATTCTCCTCTTGAGGTTTTGGGTATGCACACACATGTACCCAGTGTGATTCTCAGTCTTTTTTTTGGAAAGGTTTTTGTTATAGGGCACGTGCACTCGCCAGACAGACAGAGACAGAGAGATAGAAAGCAAGAAATCACCCCCCAGGGGGGATGGCCACACCGCAATCCCTTCTCCTCCATTCTCCTGTCAGGATCTTGGGCATGCACGCACATGCACCTGGCGTGAGTTTTAAGCCACCAGTTCTGGGACACAAACAGCAGTTGACTACATGTGAGTCCAGCGACATAGCCACTACGTTAACTGCTTGTCTCCCCAGTGTGATTCTCAAGTTGCCAGGTCTTGAACCATGATTATCCACGTGGGAATCCAGTGCCTTAACCACCACACCACCTGCTGGATCCACAAAATGGTTTTTCAGAGCATGCATACAGTGTGTGACAATCAAATCAAGGATGTTACCATGTATATAATTTCAATAAAGAAACTTACTTTTTTTTTTCTTTTTCATGTTTTTGCCATAGAGCACACATGTGCTCATCAGAGAGAGAGACAGAGAAACAGAGAGAGGGAAAGTGAGATGTCACCCCTTGGGGGGATGGCCATGTTACAATCCCTTCCCCTTCATTCTCCTTGTAGGCATTTTAGGAATGCACACACACATACCTGAAGTGATTTTCAAGTTGCCAGAACTGGACTCAAACCATTGCTGGCCATGTGGGAGTCCAGCACCTTACACCATGCCACCTGCCTGGCCCTGGACCTTACATTCTTGTGTCTGTTAAATGTGTTTTTGCTAAGCCCCTCCCACTCACCTCCTACTATCCACTAATCTACCATATAGTCACTGATATCTACACTTGCCTTTTCTACTACTATATCTTTGAATCTTTCCATTTCTGCCATGGAATGCAGAGATTTGGTATATACTGAGTGGAGATCTACAGTGTTTATCTTTCATAGCCTGGCTTGTTTCACTTAGCATTAAATGTTCTATATTCATCCACTTTGTAGAAAATGATAGTCTCACTCTTTATGGTTGAGTAGTATGCCATAGTGTAAATATGCCACATTTTTTTTTTCCAATCCTGCCATCTATTCTTGGGCACGTAGGTTGATTCCATCTCTTAGCAATTTTGAATAATGCCACAATAAGCATGGGTATGCAACTGTCTTTCTGATCTAGTGTCAGAAATTTAAGTAGTTCTTCCTATGGTCAAGATGCATGTCTCTTAGTTATGCAATTTCCAAAAATTTCCTCCCTTTCTATGATTTATTTTTTTCTTAGGTGTCTTTTCAACACAATTTTTAATTTTGATGATGTTCAATTATATATTTTTCTTTCATTGGTCAGCTTTTGGTGTCATAGCTCAGAATCCATTATCTAATTCAAGGTCAAGATTTACAACTACAGATTATTTATTATTTCTTCTTTATTAATGAATGAATGAATGGATGAGAGGTTTTTGCTATAGGGTTTGTGCAGTCACTAGAAAGACAGACAGACAGAGAGACAGAAAGTGAGAAATCACCCCTCAGGGGGGTGGTCACGTCGCAATCCCTGCTCCTCCATTCTCCTTTTGAGATCTCGCGCAGGCACTCACAGGCACCCAGCATTAGTTTGAGCCATGGGTCCGGACTCAAACCACAGTGGACTACATGGGAGTCCAGCGACATAGACATTATGCCAACTGCTGGTCCCATATAGTTAGTTTCTTTCAATAGCTTTATAGTTTTAGCTCTTCAGTTTAGGTCTATGATCTATTTTGAGTTAAATTTTTTTGTATATGTGAAGTAAAGGTGGCCTACATTCTTTTGCACGTGGTTATCCAGTTGTCCTGCATTGTTGAGGACTGTTCTTTTCCCATTTAATGTCTTGGCATCCTTGCTGACAATCAGTTGACCATCAGTAAACATTCATTTCTAGACTGTGGATTTTACCCCCAAAGCAGTTATAATTATTGACTGCTGTGATTGAGGTATGGTCCTAAGCACGACTTCATTTACTTGTAGTAACTGTGAAGTGGGTACTATTCTTAGAACTATTTCACAATGATGTAGCCAGGATAATGGCCCAAGCCCGTGTAACTCCTAAGTGGCAGAACCAAGAAAAGAACTTAAACTGACTGAGAGCCCCAGCTCTTAACCATGTATACCGCGAACAAATGTGAGAAATCAGTACTTGAGATTTCAGCTTAAGGATTCGTTTTAAACAAAAAGAGTAGGGACTGGATAGACCAATAGCAGTAGGAAACCCAACGGGGTAGGGACTTTTCCAGCTTGCTTTCTTCAGACTATGAGAAACAGACCTGCCTCCTCGTTCAAAACCCACCACCCTAAGTTGAGTATTTACCCTGGCAGTAAGTCAAAGAACTAGGACTGGCCTTGGTTTTCCAGGGAGGTGCAACGCGACGCCCACGGCAACTTCGAAGGGCGGAGGCCCCGCCCACACGCGGCCCCGCCCACACGCGGCCCCGCCCACACGCGGCGCTCTCGGTCAAGATCAGGGTGCCCGGGATGTGAAAACTCTCGCGGGAAGATGTGTCGTTGCCTCAGTAACCGCGTCGCGGTCCGAAAGATGGCGGGACGAAGTGTTGGTCGTGGGGTCAGTTCAACTCCAGACTCCTGGGTAGCGACGGGGCTCCAGGCGACTGAGACGCCGAACCCCCTAGGCCTTGGACCTGAATGTCTCTGTCTCTTTTACAGAGACGCAGCGTTCCCGGGACTCCGCTCCCGCCGCGCACCCGGCGACCGGCGGCACCTGGACCGGACCTTCTCGCCAAGGAAGAAGAATATAAGTAAGACTTTCTGAGTATGAGTTTTCCCCTTTCTTTCGTCGAAATGAAGCTACTTTACAAGTACTTCTCCCGGACTGGCTGGGTCTTCGGGACCATGTCCAGTACTCCCTCCCGTCATCCCGCTCAGCTGCCCCTGTCTTTTCCACCTGAGTGGTTCTGCGTCTTAGAAGGTACTAGAAAGCGGAGAAAATTTAGCCCCAACTGAATGTGTTTGTCGGCAAGAGGGTACTCTTGGAACTGATTTGGATAGCAGGAATTGCCACCAGTAATTCAGCTTCCAGTTAGGATATTTCGCTTCATTTGAAGTTCATAGAAGTTTACGTTATATACGTTTAAGGCCTGACTTCTGAATGCAGATCTTGTTTCTCAGTGCAACCGGAACTACCGCTCTCACCCACGTTGGGCCGCCTGTTCTTGGTGTAATTACAGCTATCCTGAAACACCTGCATTCATTGTTGGCCCATTCCACGCCTCGTCAACAGATTTTATGCAGCAGGCCAACCAATCTTTCAGTTTGATCATTTTTTTGCTTAAAACTCTGTAGTGGATTCCTGTGGCACTTCAAAAGTGCTGGCAGATCTGGCTCCTCCTATTTATTTAATCTCGTGTCATTTTATGTTTTCCTTTTCTCTTCAATTCTTAGACTCACTGGTCGTTTAGTGCCTAAAAATTTTCCTTGGCCTTCTTTGACAGCACTCACATAGGATCTCCCACTTGAACCACCCAGAGTAGATTTCCTTGATCATGCTTTGATGATGCCTCTGCTGCTCTTTATTTTTTTTGTCTTACCAATTTTTCTTGCAATTAATCCAATTTAAAATGAGTAAACAAATAGTCCATAAGGTAGTTTACTTTTATGTTGTCCTTCTCTTTCACTGGACTGTAAGTGCCACAGAGGCAGAGACCATATCTGTTTATTTGCCACCCTTACCAAAAAATATATATAGGGTAGTCTCTATCCGCAGGAGATACTGTCCAAGACCCCCAGTGGATGCCCGAAATCACAGATTGTACCAAACCATGTATATACTATGTTTTATCATATTTATGCATACCCGTGATAAAGCTTAATATATAAATTAAGTTAATTTAAAACAGGGTTGGTTGACTGCAAGCACCTGCTACAACTGACAGTCAATCTGATAACCTAGATGGCTGGACAAAGGGATGATTCACATCCCAGAGGGATGGAACAGGCCAGTGCAAGATTTCCTCAGACTTCCCAACGCGGCACCCAATTTAGAACTTATGAATGGTTTGTTTCTGGGATTTTATATTTAATATTTTCAGACTGTGGCTGCAAGTTGGTAACAAATCCTGGATTAGGGGGTATCATATTTTAACCACTTGCTTTCTTTTTAAGTAACTAAAATGTGGAGAGTGGTCTGGCAGTTCTTCAGAGTTAAAACTTCAAAGAGTTATACTTAGAATAAAACTGAAGTGTGCTCTTTCTAGTGAACTAGACGAATAAGCCAATTTGCCACATGTGGGAAGATGATTTTCCTCCCTCCTCTAATGAAATTGGCCCTTAAGCAGCTGAATCTAGTATTCAAATACAGGTCTACATCATCGGTACCTAAACCAACAAGGTTATCTTTATTATCAGATAAATAGCTGTGTTGATTAGATTAATTTGTGTATTTAACAGTGTGTTTGCACCTGGCTCTGGTGCCTTAAGTCAGAAATCTACAGGAACTATTCTGGATGGTTTTGTGGTAAAGGTAGCCTTTTGTTACTTGTTCTGTTATCTGTACTCCGAATTGTGTAAATCTGAGGTATATGAACAGAGTTAACTTCCAGTCCCTGCCTAAATCTTCTAGAGCAATTTCGTGTCATGCAGAAGAGTAAAATGTCTGGCCATCCCTATAGGCAAGAGTTATGAGTTCATAACGGAGTATCTGTTTTCTACATATTATCTTGGTGTAAAGCATATTGGGTTATGTCTTCAATCAGCAGAACATTGCACTTCCCAGGGAGAACAATCTAGAATCATCTGCAATTCACCTCCTGTCAAATAGTTGGAAGAAGTAATCATTTGAAGTACATGCCTTTCATCACTCAAGTAGATAGATTTTTTTCCAAGCTTCATGCCCATACTGTTTTTTTAAAATAATTTTATTTATCTTTATTTATTTTTTTATTTTTGGTTTGACCTGAGTGGGACAGAGAGAGAAAAGAAAGTGAGAAAGCAAGCCACCAGGTCCAGGAATCAAATGCTGTCCGCCATGTGGGAGTCCAGTGCCCTTAACCACCTTGGCCCCACCCATACTGTTTTATGAAACTAAAGAGCTAAACAATAAGATTATATGATAAAGGTAATGCAAGCCTCCCCAGAAATCCCAGTTAGATTGGATTTATAGATTAATTTGCAGAGAACTGACATCATTATGCTATTGAATCTTCCACGAAGATGATACATCTCCATTTACACGGGTTATTTTGTTTTATCCTTTAATAATTTTATCATTTTTCTACATAAAAGCCTTGCACATATAATTTGTTTCAATGTGCCTTATAGTTTTTGTTGCTATAATGAGTGGCATTTTTTCTATTGTATTTTTTTTTTAATAGAGTTTTGTTATAGAGCACATACAGTTGCGAAAGAGACAGATAGAAAGCGAGAAATCACCCCTCGGAGGGATGGCCATGCAGCAGTGCCTTCTCCTCCAGTCTCATTTTGGGAATTTGGGCATCCATGCACCCAGCCTGAATTTTAATCCATGATCAGTCATGTTGGAGTCCAGTGATGTACCATTAGGCCATCTACTAGCCTCTCTATTGCATTTTTAAATTGGTTGTATGTGTCAGAACATGGTTGATTTTTGCATGTTGATACTACATTGGTATTTATATATAAATATATATCCCTATTGAAGTTTCCTGTAGTGTGTGCATGCATGTGCACACGTGCAAGAGAACCTTTGATGGAATCTTATCACACCTGTAGTCCTCTTTTCCTTGGATTTTTGGTAAAGATACTTATATCACACACACACACAAATTTGGTTTTGTCCCTTTATAATTTCTTATACATTATCATTTTTTCTATATCTGTTTAGGCCCTTTGGTGCAATATGGAATACAAAAGGCACTGATGAGCTTCCTTATCTTGGTTATTATTGGAGGAACCCACTTTTAGTAATTGATTATTACATTTGGGGTTTCCTCTATAGTTTTGTAGATTATTTTGATCAAGTTTAAAGAAGTTCCCCTTAATTTCTGATTTGAGTTAGTTTGTTAGAAAAGTTTGTTTCTTCCTGAAGTGATTCAGGTGATGATACTTTTCCTTCTTCTGGGGCCAGCAGGTGGTGTGGTTAAAGGCATTAGATTCATACATGGCTGACCGTAGTTCAAATCTCGGACCTGGTGGCTTGCTTTCCCTTTCTGTCTCTCTCTAGTCGAATTAAAACCTAATAATAACAAATGGAATTAAATGATACTTTTCCTCCTCCTTTGTAAAGTTCTAACATACTTGACTACAAGGGCAGATTTCTTGTTTTCTTTTTTTCTTGGAGAAGTTTTTGCTATAGGGCGTGTGCACTCACCAATAAGACAGAGAGAGACAGAAAGCCAGAAAGAGAGAACTCACCCCCCAGGGGGAATGGCCATGCCGCAATACCTTCTCCTCCATTCTCCTCTTGGGATCCTGGACACTCACACACGCACACATATACACCTGATGTGAGTTTAAGCCACCCGGTCCAGGACTAGAACCGCAGTTGACTACATGTGAGTCCAGTGACACAGCCATTACACCATCTCCTGGTCCCTCTTGTTTTAACAACTACTGGATTTGATTGCTATCACTTTATGTTGGATTTTTGCTCTATGAACCAAAGTGGAATTTTTTCTTTCTTTTTTGGGAGAAGGCTTTACCATCAGGGATTATTTGCCCTTTGATTAAAGTTGTAGAAGTGTCTGAGTCTGGTGTTTTTGTTTTGTTAAGGGAATTTTTTTTTTTTTTTGGCCTGTGAATTCAGTTTCTTTAGTAATAATGAACCTTTATGAATATACTGATGTTTCTTGAATACATTTTTATTGGTGATAGTTTTCTATAAAAATGTTCATTTCATGTAATTTTTTTTTAAGACAGGTTTTTGCTATAGGATGTTTGCACGTGCAAGACAGACAGAAATCACCCCCCCCCCCCGGGGGAGTGGCCTCACTGCAATTCCTTCTCCATTTTCCTCCTGGGATCTGGGCCATGCAGTCACATGCGCCTGGCATGAGTTTTAAGTGGGACTTGGGACCCAAACTGTGGTGGACTATATGGGAGGCTAGCATTGTAACCATTGCACCATTTGCTGGTCCCTCATGTATGTTTTTAAATCTACATAAATTTACTCAGTGCTCTTATGTTTTAAATCTTGACTTTATCTGTAACCATATTACCCTTTTTTAGAGGTTTTCTGATAGTTTTTTTGGTTTGTTTTTTCTTTTCTGTCACTTTTGCTGGGAGATTTACCTATTTTATTGGCCTTTTCCAAGAACTAGCTATGGTTTTCTTACTAATCCATGTTTTTAAAATTCATTAGTCTTTATAGAAATAAAGCAATAGGAAACAACTCTTCTAATGTAGATTTGGTTTTTTTTTTTAGTTTCTTGGGCTGACTTATTTTGCTTTTCTCATTTTTTAATAGATCTAGTAAAAATTTCACTCCAACTATAGCTCAACTGTCTTCTAGGAGATAGATAGATTGGTTTTTGATTACTTCTAAATATTGTATTTTTAAGTTGATTATTTGAGGGGTTGTGTTTTTAAATGAAGAAGAGAAAGCATGGGAAAGAGAGCACTGGAGGGGGAGAGGTATTTTTGACTGCATTTCTCCGTACTGTAGTTCTCCTGCCCTAGTATCCCAGTTAGCTAGCATGCTGAACCTGTTCAGGTTTGTAACCAAACCCAGGCCTCTGGTGCACCAGTGCCCTACAGGTGTGGTTTTTAGTTTCCAAGTATGCAGGGTTGTTTGCTGGTTGGTTTTATTTCTGTTATTTAAAATTTT